ACCAAAGTTCCTGCCATATGACCAAATGTCCCACCATATCACTAAAGTTCCTGCCATATGACCAAATGTCCCCCATATGACCAAAGTTCCTGCCGTATGACCAAATGTCCCACCATATCACTAAAGTTCCTTCCGTATAACCAAATGTCCCCCATATGACCAAAGTTCCTGCCGTATGACCAAATGTCCCACCATATGACTAAAGTTCCTGCCGTATGACCAAATGTCCCACCATATGACTAAAGTTCCTGCCATATGACCAAATGTCCCACCATATGATTAAAGTTCCTGCCATATGACCAAATGTCCCCCATATGACCAAAGTTCCTGCCGTTATGACCAAATGTCCCACCATATGACCAAAGCTCCTGCCATGCAATGAAATGTCCCAACATATGAGAGAAGCACCTACCATATGACTAAAACTCCTGCCATACAACCAAATGTCCTACCATATGACCAAAGCTATTGCCATACAAACCGAAGTTCCTGCAATATGATGAAATGTACCAACATAAGACAAAAGCTCCTACCATATGACTGAAGTTCCTGCCATATGACTGAATGTCCTGCTGTACAACTGAAGCTCTTGCTGTATGACTGAATGTTCGACCGTATAATCAAACGTCCCACCATATAACCAAAGCTCCTGCCATATGGCAGAAGCTTCTGTTGTATGACTGAATGTCCCGCCATACAATCAATGCTCCTGCCATATGACCAAATGTCTCATCATACAACTAAAGCTCTTGTCATACAACCAAAACTCACACTGTACAACCAGAGCTTCTGTTGTAAAATCGAATGTCCTACCATATGACCAAAGATCCTGCCGTAAGACCAAATATCCCACCATATGACTAAAGTTCCTGCCATACGACTGAAGCTCCTGCTGTATGACTGAGTGTTCAACTCTATAATCAAACGTCCCACCATATAACCAAAGCTCCTGCCGTAAGGCAGAAGCTTCTGTTGTACGACTGAATGTCCCGCCATACAATCAATGCTCCTGCCATACGACCAAATGTCTCATCATACAACTAAAGCTCTTGCCATACAACCAAAACTCACACCGTACAACCAGAGCTTCTGTTGTACAATCGAATGTCCTACCATATGACCAAAGATCCTGCCGTATGACCAAATATCCCACCATATGACTAAAATTCCTGCCATACGACTGAAGCTCCTGCTGTATGACTGAGTGTTCAACTCTATAATCAAATGTCCCACCGTATGACCAAAGCTCCTGCCGTAAGGCAGAAGCTTCTGTTGTACGACTGAACGTCCTGCTGTACAATCAATGCTCCTGCCGTACGACCAAATGTCTCATCATACAACTGAAGCTCTTGCCATACAACCAAAACTCACAACATACTGTACAACCAGAGCTCCTGCTGTATGACAGATACTCCTGTCATGACAGAAGATCTAGCCATATGATGGAAGGTCCTGCTGTACAACAAAAGCTTGTGCTGTACAATCAAACATCCTGCCATATGACCAAAGTTCCTGCCATACMATCAAATGTCTCACCATATGACCAAAGCTCCTGTTGTACAACTAAATGTCTGTCATACAACCGAAGTTCCTGCAGTACAATCAAATGTCTCACCATATGACCAAAGCTCGTGTTGTACAACTAAATGTCTGTCATACAACCGAAGTTCCTGCAGTACAGTCAAATGTCTCACCATATGACCAAATCTCCTTCCGTATGACTAATGTCCTGCCTTATGTGAACATCCTGTTGATTGAATTCACCATAATCTGTTAAACCTAGGACTGTCGTTCCCTCCTTTAACACTTTTATTGGTTTAAAAAGATTGAGAGAAAAAGAAATTTGTTTAGGATTTTGGTGCGAAACATACAAGAGAAGTGACTAAACGCACAAAAAAAGCTAATTTAATAGTGTCCAGGCAGTGTAAACTGTTTGTCGTTGGAATTCCCCAAAGACCACAATGGTTATTTTTTCCGGTCAGATGAGAACTGGAACGCGAGAAGCGTCAAACTGCTGTTCAGCTCAACACCTCTTTGAAACGTTTAATGAAATTCCACAAAAGGACGTGGGGGAGAGAGCCACGTGTTACCGGAGTCAACATTTGCAGATTCTGCTGCTCGGCTTGTTCTGAGGATGCGATTTCTTCCAGCTGACCAGGTGCAGATGAGTTACTCAGGTGTGGCTTTTAGAGCGCTCTGGGACTCCAGACGTGTGCGTCTCACCACGTCACCGGGAGTAGACCTGGAAAAGCTGGAGTCAAGTAGCACAGAAGTGGTACAGTGGAGCAAAGATCCTCCACCTCAGATCTCACGGTTTTTGTCTTTTACGGTTTGACAGTTACAGATTTAAATCCGGTGCATGTCTTACTCTCAGCCCATCCTGCGCTGTGATAATTAAACAAGCCATCCTTTATTTTTCCTCTAACCTGCCGGTGTGTGTGCCACGTCTTCAGGGCTTTCTGTCAGACCTGCTGGAGAAGGCCAACAGACACTACGACGAGCAGAAGCTGCAGGAGTACACACAGACCATAGTAAGACCAGTTTTTGTCTCCCACTGCATGCAAACAGCATCTCTGCCTCAGAATGTCACCAAAAGTCAACCAGCTTCTTTATTTAACTTTCATTTTGTTATTTTTAATGCAAGAAAAAACAACTGTTGTCTTTCAGTGAGGTAAAAAAAGAGCTTAAACCGTTTTAAATCTGCGGAGCATCAAAGTGTCCTCCTCTCAGTCTTAAAGACAGCTTATATAAAACGTCTCTGCTGGGCTTCAGAGCTCTGCAGCGTTGGTGGCAGCAGCCCCGTGCGGCTCAGTGACCATCGTTTCCTGCAGGTCGTCTTCTCGCAGCCCAGATGCACAAACATCTGCTTCTCGGGAGCCCCGCAGCCGAGCTGACCTGATTTTCTGAAGCCTGACTCGGTGGTGTTCAGAGATAAAGCTATTGTTTTCTCCAGCGGTTGTTTCTGAAAGCTTGAATGAGCACGTTCAGATGTCAGTGCTGGGGTTTGGAGCTGACGGTTTGAGTGACAGATTGTTAAAAACATGGAGGTTTAAGGAGGCTGAATTCCAACCTGATAACTAATAAAATCGAGCTTTGTTTGATGATTATTTGGTCTCTTTTTAAGGTAAACACTGGCCCCAATCATAGTTTTACTTTGGTCAAAACTGGGTTTCATGTTAGTTTATTATACCGTACTTTATAAAAACATTGGGCTGATTTGGTTCTGTTGGCGTGCTGTGATGCTCCACATCCAGAGGAAGCAGTTGAGGTGGTCCATCTGATCTGATCTGATCAGATCTGATCTGATCATAGTTGAGATCATTTCTTCTGTGCGTTTTTCTGCTCATATCTTGTTCAGCAGTTTTTCTGCTGTTTCAACCACATTAAAACGTTCAGCTCCTTCAGGACATTCCTGCTATGACTTCTGGTGTTTCATCCGTTTATATGTTTTTAGCTATATCACTTTTTCGGCCACAAATTTCCAATGAAAATGAATGGAGCCTTTTTCAGCATCTTCAAAACACTTCAAAATGTTTATAAATCTTTACTGCTCTTTGCAGATTTTGCTCTGGTTCAGCTCTGTTTTACTTTCCTTGTGCAAATTTTAGCTTCTTTTTTTCATTTTGCTAATTTTATCCTTTTCTGCCATTTCAGCTAAAATTCTACTCTTTCTCCTATTCTTCTGATAATTTATTTTTTGTGCTTTTTTCAGTTTCTTTTTGCTAACTGGAGCTTTTTATGCATCTTTCAGTTGCTTTCTGTTAATTTCAGCTGTTGTTAGCTAAAATTGTTTGTTTTAATCTAAATTCACATTTTGGTGGCCAATTTAGCTTCTTTTTGCAAAGGTGCTCTTTTTACTTTTTTGTGCTATTTAACACTAAAGTTCAGTTTTACCTGTTTTACTGCACATTTTGGCTGTTTTACAACAATTTGTCACTTTTTTGTACTTTTATTCTTTTTTAGCTAATTTGACATTTTTACGCCACTATGACATTCTGTGAACTACACTCAACTTGTTTCTGCCATCTTTAGCTTGTTTTTTTCTGATAACTTTAGCTTTTTTCTATTATTTCAGCTATATTTTGACTCATTTCTGGTATTTTTTTGCTAATTTCTACTTTTTGTTCTTCTTTCTGCTACTTACTACTAATTTAATCTTTATGTACTTGTTTCAGTTGCATTAAGCCAATTCCTTTCTGCAACCACTGTTTAGCTGTTTGTTGCTAAATTCAGCTATTGTGCTTTTTTTCTGCATAGTTAAACTTTTTAATTCTTCTTTCATCTTCTCAAATTGAACTTGCATTAACTGTTTTGCTATTAAACATATTCAGCTCCATTTCAGCAGCTTTCAGCTGAAGTTTTCAGCGCAGCATTGACACTAGCATCTTCGCAGGAAATGCAGTTTCTCTAGTTCTATAAATCCCAGTTATCTGGCTTATCATTTTAAAACGTCTCCTGGTCCAGCTGGGACGTTCGGCTGAAAACCAGCTGGTGGGTCGTTTAAATTAAACACACAGTGGAGCCAGTTTAACGGCTCCATATAACACAGTAATAAATGTGTTTTTCCATTTCCTGTAACGGATTTGAAAACGCTGATGAATTAACTTTGAGCAATAAAACGTTGGTTTGTTTGGCCTGAAGTGATAAAACTGCAGAAGCTGAAAAGCTAAAGCGAAGTGAGGTTTTATAGGAGGATATGATTTTTAATAATTTCATGTAAGATCTTCCTAAAAGCACAGGTTAACTTAAAAAAATGAAATCCTAGAAGTTTAGAAGTGGCTTAAATATTCTGGATTTATCACTGAACATCCTGAAGATACAGTTTGTTTTGCCGACATCTTGAACTCTATTTCGTCTCCTCTCCTCTCTGTTGTAGCTGAAAATGTTTGATCTGAACGGCGACGGGAAGCTGGGCCTCTCGGAGATGGCGAGGTAACGTGCACTTTCCCTTTCTTCCGCGGCTCGTAATAATAATAGATGCAGAAACGCTTCCTCGCTCCTAATGTTCGTTCATTGTCTGCAGATTTGAATAATTTAGCAGCTCGTGGGTCGACTAATGAAGTACTTTGCTTCCACAGGCTTCTTCCTGTTCAGGAGAATTTCCTTCTCAAGTTCCAGGTAGGAAACGAAAACCAAATGTGCAGAATTTTCCACTTTCAGATGCACTTCTTTTTGTTTTGGTGGATCAGTTCAACACTGTCTGTTGGTTTAAAGTCAATAATTAAATATTTGATTTCTTTGTTTTTGCAGGGTGTCAAGCTGACCTCTGAGCAGTTCAAGTCCATCTTCAACTACTACGACAAGGTAGGAGAGATTCAATTTAAAGTGGTCGTAAAAATATATTTAACAGCTTTTTTATTGACGATTTACTCCTCCTGAATGTTTGCTTGTATAAAGTTTACAATAATCCTTGTTTTATTGGAGTAAAGGACAAATAATCTCTGCAGGGAAATGATGTGAGGAGATGAAGTGGCTCCATGTTTGTTTTGGAGCTGCTTTCGTTAAAATAATAAGGATTATGAAAATGTTTTGTTCGGGCGCTCCTGGTTCTGTAGGGAAATGAGTTCACCTGGGTGCACCTGTCCCCTTTGTAAACAGCTCAGTGTGGCTGAGAAGTGCTTTGTCTAATGGTCGTATTAAATCTGCTGGGACTAATGTGTGGAGAGGAGGGACGTGAAGCAACACTCAGGTGAACCTGTTAAATCATTTTTACTGTCTGGGCTGAGCCCGAGGGCTGCCCCACCGTCCACGACGCCGTGAGAAGAAGGCTGACTCAGTGTTCTGAGGAGATAAATAATTCAGTTTGATGTGACACAGCAGCCACGCTGGAGTTGTTGGAGATGCTTTTCATATTTCCCTGCAGGTGTGGTGTGGATTTATTTCACACCTTCTGATGCTGATTCAGCAGCTGGGAGGCAACAGAGTCATCAAAGCTTCGAATTCAACAAAAACGAGTCATACAAGACTGAATAAACTTTTGTTTGCTTATCTTACTCTATGTTTATTCCTGATTCACTTCTTGATGTTATTCTTTAAGCATAAACTTAAAAAAAGATGATTTTTTAACACAAAAGCAGGGGCGGAGCCAGAGGGGTGGCCAGGGTGGCACCTGATTGGCCACCCCCAGGTGCCACCCCCAAATAATTGACAAGTGGGGTGGCAATAAAAGATGGTCCGTTAGAGCAAAAACAGTAAATATCTGTCTTGTAGCTGTGATATCTTGTGTAGAAAAGAAAAACTTTTCTAAACCACTGAAACAATTACAGGAGAGCTGAAATGTAGCTATCCAATTAGCATTAGCCATTAGCCTGAAATTGAGATTAGCTTTCAGAATATCACAGACATTGCTCTTGGTTACCACCATGACAAAATTCAGCTCAATATTTATAAAAATTGACTGAGTTATAACCATTTAATATTAGCATTAGCCCTTAGTTTGTAATAGTAAAATTAAATAGCCGAATTATAGCTTTTGAAGTTAGCTGAGATGGCCAGCTTGAATTTTTTATAAGCATTTAGAATTGGTATAGACTGTTTTCGGCTGCTACCACACCAATTTTTGGTTTTGTTTGTCTAAAAAGCTATATTATAGCTTTTAGTAAAAATTAGCATTAGCAGTTGGAAATTGTAACTAGCATTCAGCATGTGTTTTAGAACATTCTTAGCTACTATCACACAAAATTTTAGCTCAATACATGTTAACACAGCTGAATTACAGCAATTTGAAATTGGCCGTGGCAGCCATCTTGATTTTTCAAATACAGGGTATTTTTTAAATTTAAACGTACCCCCCTAAATAGCACCATGCCCACCCCGTGCAACCTTTTGCCAAAAGCTTTAGCTCCGTTCCTGCAAGAAAGCCGTAATTTTTTTGTTTGTTTTTTAGCTTTTTTGCCCGAATCTTTGTGTGTTTTTGTTTAAAGCCAAAACATCCCGTGAACAACTCGTCCAAGTTCAATAAAACTGGCAGAACTGAATCGTCGGACACATGTCTTCAATCGATTTGGAGTTAACCAAATTTAGCCAACACACCAGTTATGAGTTGTAACTTATAAGGCTGTTAATTTCACAGCTACTGGGGTAAAAATGAGATTTTAGAGCCCACCTCTGATGGTGGCTGAGGTGTTGAGAGGACGAAGTCTCGCTGGTCAGCTGAACGCTAACGTGGCTCAAAGCTTCAAACCCTGCAAAGAGGAGAAATGATCTGAAATCCAAAGAGTCTCTCGGCCTCAACAGACTGGTGCTTAACGTGACGACACGCTCCTATATCTCCGCAGAGTGCCTGGTCTTTCATCCTTAAAGGGAAAATAAATAGAATTCACATTTTATTCTCCCGATCTGGGACTCTTCAATCTGGCTGCGTTGACATCAAAGAGCATCTTCTGAAATTAAAAAAGAAACGAGTGGGACTGGCACGACTCGCAGCTCTGAAGTCATCTTGAGACGGAGCCCAGATGAACAGATCGTGGACTTACGCCATGAGCTGAAGGCAAATTTCCAGTAACTCGGATTTATCTGCTGGCCTGAAACTCTATAAACAATCCTGACATAACTCAATAATTAGCTAAGAGGCTATAAACAGATTCACAGCTTCACTTATTGTGAATGAAGCATCTTTTTTTAATATTTCTGGCCCGTGCATTCATGATTGCTGTGATAAAACCCTGAATAGCAGCAGATAAAAACAAACTCTGAGCACTCAGAATCGACTCTACAGATCAATAAAACTCTGCCTCATTATCATCGTCCTATTCATCAACAGCACTGTTGCAGCAAAGCAAACATATTTCCAAATGGAAACCTGAAAAGGGCCCTTTTGTACATTGTGATAAGGAATAAGGAAGTGATTGTCACAATAAAACTGAAAAAGATGTGAGAGCTTTTAAACAGTGACTAATAACACACATAAACAGCCTTATTGGTGCCAGAAAATCCTCATTTCCTCAGTTTAAATGATTTTTTTGGCCGTTCCAATCCACCCAAAGAGCATTCTTAAGTGTAAGTATCTAAAGGATTTTTCACCAAGGGAGTCTGTTGTTAAAGAACTTAAAACTTTCTTTCAAATCCTCCCAGAATGCAGAGAGAAACTAAAATCCAACAGACTTCAGTTGGATTTTAGTTCAGAAAATGCTTATCTAATCTACAAGTGAAGGTTTTTTTGTGTGTGATCATCAAAGTCTTGGTTTGTTTGAGGCTTACTTTTTAGTCTGCCTCTCTTTAGGGTGTTATCAGGGAGTGACAGACACTGGTTACCATGGTGGCCATAATGAGCAGCTCTATAACTTTATCTGATCTTGGTTCTCTGATACAGTTACCTTTTGTTCTTACTGTTTGATAATTTGTGATAAATGTTAAATTTAAATATTAAATCCTAAATCTTAATGTGTAAATCTAAACTTAAAAGTTAAATCTTAAATGTTGCAACTAAATGATAAAACTTAAGTATTTCAGAATGGAATGCAGCTTTGCCGTCGGCGCATGGCTTTTTTGCTTTTGTTACAATGTCGTCATCCTGTGACAAAAGCAAAGCTGCTAACACTGATAATGCAGCTGAAGATGGCATTTAAATTTTTAATTCAGAAAGTGTTTGTTGAAAATTTGATGGATGGTACCTGTGATCTTGCAGTTTGAAGTGCAGCTCGAACACCAGGCCCAACGTCAAGTTTGATGTTTTGTAGGAAAGTGTTAGCAGCATTAGCAGCGTTAGCAGCATAACTAGCATTAACAACATTAGCAGAGTTAGCAGCATTAGCAGATTTAGCAGAGTTAATGACATTTAGGAGTTAGCGGTATTAGCAAAGTTAGCAGCATTAGCAGAATTAGCAGCATTAACAGTTGGCAGCATTACCAGAATTAGCAGAGTTAACAGCATTTGCAGCATTAACAGAGTTAATAGCATTAGCAGCATTAGCAGTTACCAGCATTAGCAGAGTTAGCAGCATAAGCAGAGTTGATAGCATTAGCAGAATAAGCAGCATTAGTTGTTAGCATTACCAGAATTAGCAGAGTTAACAGCATTTAGCAGAGTTAGCAGCATTAGCATAGTTAGCAGAGTTAATAGCATTTATCAGTTAGCAACTTGCAGTGTTAGCGTTAGCAACATTAACATAGTTAATAGCATTAGTAGCAATAGCAGCATTAGCAGAGTTAGCAGCACAGTTCTTGCCCGATCTGTCCCAAAAGCATGATCTGTCCTGATGTCAGCTCATTTGTTCATGTGCCTAAAAAAATACAGTACTTCCAGATTACCGAACAATTTGCTCAATTTATTTAGAAAAAATACTGGAAATAATTATTTCTATCCTTAATTGTAAAGGTGTGCTAAATTATATCCTGTAAACAGTTTTAATACAACAATTATTTAAAGTATTTAATATATCACTTGCTATAAATGGATCTATTTCTCTAGACAATGTTATAATTCCCTTAATGAACAATAACTGCCATACTTTATTTGAAAATATATATAATTCAGTAGAAAATGGTTTATTGGATGCATTTATGCTAACAAGGATTTGTGACGACGTCTGTTTTTTTTCTGGACTTAAAATCCACATCTGTTGTAAACATTCCCTATTCTAGGAAACATTTCAGGCGATGAAATACTGAAAACAAATTCATTCTGTCGTCAAGCAGCCTAGCGAAATGCTACATGCTAAAAAAACACGAACGGACGGTAAGGATCAGGCAGTGACAAGCATTAGCAGCGTTAGCAGCACTAATTTTGTCACAGGATGATGACATCACAAAAAATGCACCAGCGCAAAGGATGCATTACGTTCTAAAATACTTGTATTTAAGTTTTAGCATTTAGCCACAGCATTTATGCTTTAAAATGCAGTTTTAACATTTAAGATTTAACATTTAGTAAAAAATTAACATGTAAGAACAGTGAAATGTTTTTGTGACATTTTCTAACTTTTTATTTTACACTTGGCTCCCCACACAGTCGATCTTTCAAGCCTTCTTGTGAATTCAGAAGTGAAAATAATACTTCTGGTGTTTGTTTTGACTCATTCCAGGATGGGAACGGCTACATCGATGAGCAGGAGCTGGAGGCTCTGCTACGAGACCTCTACCAGACCAACAAGAAGGTGAGAGCCGGATCGGATGTCTGACATGGCTCTAAATGTATCACCGCCTGTGCACCCTGCAGGTTCAAACATTAGTTTAGACTTCTGGCCCTTAATTCAGTTTGTCCGCCATCATTCCTGCCCCTAACATACTTAAAGCTATTTTAATTGCAGTGCTCCGCAACATGTGCCTGGATTTCCGAACATGCCGCGTGTTTTTTTTCTGCGATGTTCAGTCCTGCAGAAGCTCAAAAGCTTTACTGATACCAGCAACAAATCCAAGCTCATTAGCTGTTTATCATCTCCGTCCAAAGAGCCAAACACGAGTCGATGCTGTGCAGAAAACAACACAAGGAGGATAACGTCAGGATTATAATCCACATTTTTTAAATTCTGGTCCAGGTGACCATTAAAAAAAATCACTAAAAAATGATTTATTAGGGAACTATAATCCCATACACTTGAGCTTATTAAACGGTGCATTTAAAGTGACTGTAATACAATTTTTTAAAATAAATATAAAGGCATTTTTGGGGAAAAAAAAAACATTATTAACATATTGCAAAAATAGTTTCTCACTGCTGAGATGGATTAGTTGTTAAGATATTTGCATGTGAAGGAACAGGAAGTGATGTCAAAAGGAAATGTCTGCAAGGAACAAAGCACTGATAGGTTGTGTCCAAAACGACAAGCCAGGTCCTCCGGAGGACCCAGACTACCCGGTCGCGGCGGGCCGGGTCCTTCGTAGACCGGAAAAAAAGAGGCTGTGAATTTGGACGGTCTAGCCTCCCCTCTTTACCCCGGCGTACGTCACGTCACCTAGCAACTGTGACGACGCTAAACAAACAAACTTAAATCAAAATTAGAAAATTATCAATATATTAGCATTATTAATATCACAAAACTATAAAATTAACTTAAAGGTATCATTTGAAGAACTAATTGACCCGCTGTAGGTTCATGTTTATTTTACGTTTTTTATGACAAAAATAATATTTAAAAACATGTCCATACAAACGATAAAAGTATTAGAATTACAACCGCTAAATTTTTTTAATTTTTATATCACCATATTTTTATTTCAAACATATTGTTTTCTCTCGCTTCGTCCGCCATTACTAGCATAAAAAAATCTCCGGTCGGGCTGCAATGCATTATGGGATATGCTGGGCCGGGAAGGATCCATCAGACCTGTCCTTCGATTCAGGCCAAAGGAAGGTCGTATTTGTCGACCGCATCGGAGGAGTCTTCGGTTTTGGACGTCCTTCGTCGCGGCGCTGTGACGTATGCAGCCGACAAATTCGGCCTTTGGAGGACCCGGCCTGCTGTTTTGGACACAGCCATAAAATAGCCAACAACACAGACTGTAGAGAAGAATCTGATGTTTCTTTACAATATTTTGAGTCACTATCAGAGATGAAGACGAGTCAGAGTTTAAACATTGTTTCAACAAACAAAAATTGCAGAGGTCTTTTTCTTAAAGAGTTCCCCTTTGATGTCACTTCCTGTTTCACTTTGGCTGAGCCAAGTTCAAAAGAAAATATGCCAGTTATGTGTCAAAATGGGTAAAATCACATGTTTTATGCAAGGTTTCTTATATAAAAATGTATTTTCTTTGACTTTTTGTATTTGATGGATAGGCATGTCACAGGCACTTTAAAACTAGTTTCCTCCCTCCTAACAGTCGTGTTTTTGTTGGTTTCAGGAGCTGGATGTGAATAGTCTGATGGGCTACAAGGAGAGCATCATGAGTCTGTCCGACGGCGGGAAGCTGTACCGCGGAGAGCTGGAGATCGTCCTCTGCAGAGAGCCCATTGTCTGACTTTCCTCCCTCACCATCTTTGTTTTCTCTGCCTGCCTCTCTCTCTCTCTCTCTCTCTATCTCTCTCTCCTCTGAGACCCCACCCATCTCCACCTGAGTGGCAACACATACCAGGTGCATGCGCCGGTCACCTCCCAGTTAAGACGGAACGATGAGTCAGCACACGGCAGTCCCCCCTCTTCTTTCACGCCACTAATTTGTGAAACGTGACCTCTTCTGACCTCGTCCCTCCCCGTGCGGAGCCTGAAACACAAAACATAAAATAATTTTTTTTAAATTCTGTAACCCAATTATAATCCCCGACCCTAACCCCTCGTGGTCATGGTGAATCAGCGACCCTGCAGACAGACGTGTTGACTTTAACTTCCTCCTTCAAACATCTTGTTCCAGTTCAACTCTGGTCTTCCATGGTACGAGTTTCAATTTCATTGTTTGTTTTTTGGCTGAAACTGTCAACAGGAAACATTAATAAAGTATCTTAAGATAAAAACATCTCACCTGTTGCACTGATGTGATTTTGTTTGAGGTGGCTTTCATTAATGATACAGAGCAAACAAGAATAAGAAATAAATGTTGCACTAAACTAAAATTAAAACAAAGACAAGGAGGAAAACACTTCCCTGTGTCTTTATTTTAAATTAAACTTTAAGCTAAACTGAGGCAGCAGCAGCACAGTAGATCTGCACATGGATCCTGCTACTTCCTGTCTGTTGACCAATAGCAGAGGAGCTGACCCAAGGAGCTCCGCCCACCCTATTTGCATAACGAGGCAGAAATGCTTAAGGTAAAGTAAAAACAGGAGACAGAGAAATGTAAAAACAAATGAAATAAAAATACTCACTCAAAACTAATTCAAGAGACACAAATGCATGTACAAGTAAAATATATATATATATATATATTTAAAAACAGTAAAATGTAAATTATGTTCTAAATTATATAATTTGTTAGAATTAAGCTGGAAAAATAAATATGAATGTCAATCAAATTATAAAACATGGGGTAAATTTATCATTTTGTATGTTTTTATTTATTTATTGGACCATTCATATATTTCCGCTTTTATTTCTAATTATGACCGTTTCGGTCCTCCATACTCACTGGGCTGCAAAACTGCAAACTTTTACTATCGCACTGAGTTGGTGCTAAAAACAGAAAAATGTATTTGTTTGTAAATACAAACAGATTTGCACCATTAATATTCATTCAGAACTGTTTCTTTTTCATTTGGTTTGATTGACAGCTAAAAAAATGTGTCTCAAGCTTCAGGTAGAATCTTGATTTTGGAGACAAGTTCAAAAACATGGCTTCAGTCGTGGCCGTGCACATTATTCATTCACCGGCCCATCATTTCTAATTTAATCTGCTGGATTTGAAGATTCAGACCAGTTTTGATCTTTTTTCTTTTTGATTTTGGCCTGAATCTGTTTTCTGTTAGTAGAAAACTTTCGAGACGATTCTGTCATTATTTTGAACATTTTAAACATGTTTAAAGTTCAAGCGACACGAGAGAAAAAACAACAACTTTGAATGTAATAAAACAGCCCACAGAGAAACTACAGCAATTACATTAAAAAAATTTAATTCAAGAGGTTTAGGAGACTTTTTTTTTTTTTACAAACATCATTATTAATTTGTCTCCAACAGTCCAGAGAGCTGGAATCAGGACAAAATGATGATTGTTAATTTGCAGATCATGTTTACATTTTATAACTTAAAGCTACAAAAGATAAAAAGCTCTCTGTCTTGGTTTTATCCTCTTTAAATTTACTGTCTTTAAAGCAACATTTTGTATCAGAAATCAGAAAAGGTTTTTGGTTTAAATGAAACAAAACTTGATAAATACAAATAGCTTTCTTTTAAAGCTGCTAATGCAACATGTAAAGAAGTTAAAGTTGTAATTCACAGGGGCGGAGCCAGAGGGGTGATTGGCCCCCCAGGTGCCACCTCCAAATGGGGGTGGGTATTGCATTTGACAATAAAAGATGGTCAGTTAGAACTAAAACAAAATAAATATCTGTTATTTAGCTGTAATAACTAATGTAGAGGAAACCTGTCAGTGTGTGAAGAAAAAAAAACTTTTTAATACGGAATTATTTTAAAAGCAACAATTCTATTTCATCTCAGTATGTATAAAAATTAGCTGAATTGTAACCATTTGAATTTAGCTTTGGTGGACATCTTGGATCGTTTTAATTGATTTATCGCTCTCAGCTAACACCACACTGAATTTCAGTGTGGTATCTCTAAAAGGTTATATTAAAATTTGGAGGTTGCTCATGGCCACCACCAGAGCCAGCTCTTGGCATGGGGCAAGAGGTTATTTCATAGGTTGATTTCTTTTCAACTTTCATCATCTGCAATACAAATGTTTTCCTCTTATTTGACTGATAGATGGAAGCTCTGTGTCCGGGTCTCTGCCCCGTTCCGTGGGAGTTCCGCAGGGTAGCCTACTGGGCCCATTGCTTTTCCTATTATACATAAATGACCTTCCAAAAATAATGAAGTATTCAAATATTTTAATTTATGCTGATGACACTGTTCTTTTTTTGTCTGATTTCAATATTGAATCTATTAATAGTCAGTTACAAGCAGATCTTCAGACATTTCATGGTTGGCTTCAAGATAATCTTTTGTCAATTAATGTTAAAAAACTGTGTGCATGTATTTTTCCTCACCCAGGGGACATTTCAATATAACAAATCAACTCACTTTTTCAAACAAACCCCTTGACATTGTCACTACCTACAAATATCTTGAAATTACTTTAGATTCTCATTTGACTTATCGTGATCCTGTACAAGTCTTTAAGTTGAAACAGAAATTATATGTTTATTCAAAAATTAGATCCAATCTGACATC